CGCGGGGATGGCGCTCGCCTCCTTCCTCCGGCGATGCGTTCAGCTCCTCCTCTCGCCCATCCACGTACTTGCCTGCCTGGGCTTATGGGACTCCTTCTACAAGAAGGTCTTTCCGTACGTCATGGCCAAGGTGGCGCCCATCTGCAACCAGAAGGTCTACAAGCAGAAACAAAAGCTGTTCAGCAACTTGAGAAAATTTGCAGGCCCTTCGGGCCAGCTCATGTTGCTGGAAATCGGCACGGGCACTGGCACCAATTTCCAGTTCTACCCCCCGGGCTGCCGGCTGACGTGCGCCGACCCTAATCCCGATTTCAGAAAGTTCCTCCTCAAGAGCCTCTCGGAGAACCAGCACCTTAAGCTTGAACATCTGGTGGTTGCTTCTGGCGAGGATCTGCATCAAATACCGGACAGCGCCGTGGACGTGGTGGTGTGCACCTTGGTGCTGTGCTCTGTGACCAACATCAAGAAAGTCCTGACGGAGGTTTTGCGAGTGCTCAGGCTGGTAAGCTGGGGCAGCGCGAGGGAGATCAGGGGTGCCCATTTGTGTCGTGGTAAGCCAAGTTGTGTGTATTGACCTACATTTAGGATAAATGCAATCACCTGCACCAGGCCAAGAAAGAGTTTGCAATCGCCCATCACACCCACTTATCCACTCACAAGTAATTATTTGGGGTTTTTTTGCGCTGCTTCACCTGCAGATGAAAGAACCAGCTCAGCCTCCTTTCCCTCTCCCTCCTCAGCATGGCTGGTGTGCTGTCATGCACGCGCAAGGCCTGGAGTACCTGCAAGGTCTGGAGTACCTGCAAGGCCTGGAGTACCTGCAAGGTGGTGCCGATTGCCCAGGCAAGTGAGAGACACAGCTACTCGACCCGGGCAGCCTGGCTCCTGCGCTTGCAGCTGGGCAACCTGCAAAAACTCCAAGGCCAAAGCTGTTCCAGAAAGCAAAAAGAAAAGAAGAAAAAACAAACAAAAGAAAAACCACCCAAAACCCGACATCAGGGGTGCAGGAGGTGCTGGGAGCTGGGAGGAGCAGAGCCGTACTGGATAAGCAAGATTACTGCAGTACAATGGTGGACTAAGGGGAGGGAAGCAGGAGGGGATGTGTGTTGTAACACGGGTAAATTATTAACAACAACTGCAGTTCATAGTTGCCGTGTGTATTCTCTAGCGATTCCCTCTTACCTTTAAAACTTGTCCGCTTACGCAGGTACTTTCATTGTAGTCTAAAGTGACACTTGTAAAATGCCGCATTCACGCATCTCTCTTCCAATACTTTTTTCTCCAGCTAGAGTAACTGGGGAAGAGTTTAAATTAAACCTAACACAAACCCTGTCCACACAGGTGAGCTGAGGCTGTGTAACTGGCCAGAGCCTCCATGTGTAAATGAGACCGCAGCCCTGCATGTGGCTGAAAACCTCATTAATTCCTCCAGGCAATCTTGTACGCTCTTGCAAAGCAGAACTAGGGAAGAGGGAGTAAGATCGTACCCACCACGCTCCGCTGGGAGGAGGAAGGAAGGATCAGCTCTGAACCCTTGACTTCTCTGTTTGGCTCCACTGAACAAGTTCTACAGGAAAGGTTTGCTTACAATACCAGATTTGCTTTTTATCTGTTATTTATAAATACAGAAAGACATTGAGCAGATGTGGTGGTCAAAGATACAATTAAACTTTGATAGGGTTCACAAGACTGACAACGACAAAACTATTACGCACTACATACACTGACTGTAGCCTGGGACACTGGATTTCTGCTTGCTAAAGCTCTCTCACATGTTTAATAAATATTAAGAAATAAGCTCTTTTCCTTGCTGGTATGTAGGGTAAGCAAATTGTTGATTCACATTTCTCAGATGAGAAAAACGGAAACACAAGGAAGTTAAAGTGGTTTGTCCAAGCTCATCCAAGGCAGAGACAAAAACCCGGCGGCAGCAGCTCCTGCCGTCAGACCGTACTGCCTCTTGCACAGTCCTACGCTGTGCCTATCGGTAGACGTGTGCGCCTCCAGTAATAACCACCACCTTCAGCGAAAACTGAATGGGAGGCACTTTTAGAGACTTCACAGTTCAAAAGCTGTTCAAAACATGACTCTAGCACGCGTAACATCTAGGAAAGGAGGCTGATCTTCAGAGAGGTGATAAAAGGCGGTGTGTTTACCAATATCCAAAGGACCAAACTCTGCACTCAGAGGTGAACAGCCCTAAATCCTTTTAAATTTGTTTTTATGGCACTGTTTTCCAGGGTGGAGCTTTCTACTTCTTGGAGCATGTGGCTGCAGATCATTCCAGTTGGACCTACTTTTGGCAAAAGGTCTGTGACCCCGTCTGGAAGTATTTTGGAGATGGGTGTTCCTTGAGCAGAGAGACACAGAAGGAGCTGGAGAAAACTAATTTCTCAGAACTGAATTTGAGGTGCATTCATGTCACACCTTCCTGGATTCCTACTAGTCCTCATATCATTGGGTACCGTGAGCACTCCGGGACGCAGGACCTCCCTTCAGTACTCCTTTCATGCTCTAGAGAGGGTTTTTCACCCTTACAGTCAGCTCATATGCAGCAGCTGGCTACCCGGAATAAAAGTATGGAGAACTTCCTGAGCACCCACAGCGCATTCAGACTGGGAATCGCGTTCTTCCATTTGTTAGATGGGCTTTCTGGATAGAGCGCCGGGATAGAGCTGCTGCACAGGGACCGGGCAAACTGGAAAGAAGTCTAGACAGCACGTTTCGGTCCAATACAAAATAAAGGAGGAGGCAGCATCTTAGAGACTTGAGAAGGGGGAGAGGGAAGAAAGGGAACGGAAGATACACGCAAGCAAGGACAGAGGGCTAACGTTTTTCTAAGGGCAGAGAATAACGCCCAGCTTCTAACATTTCCGATGCAGGACACATGCATAATAGATACGGCATCAGTACGACCGTTTTCATTTCAGCCTTCCCATTATGAAATGTATTTATGAGCAGGCGTTTGTTTGCCCGAGCCAGTACAGTCCTCCCCGCCAGGACTTTGGTTCATGCAGGGAAGTGCTCATTACGCCACCAGTTCACCAGGCACAGTTCTCACCGGCCATTAGGTGCTAATGCTGTCAGCGCAGCTTTAACTTGAAACAGCCGCCTACAAAGCAGAAAACGGAACTTCTCTTTACACTGGGAGAAAATTGGCATTTGTTAAATCAGATGGCAGAAATCTCATCTCCGCTGTAAAATGCTGCTGCTCTGTCAAATGCTGTTGCTCTGAGGACATCAGCCATGTCCTTAGAGCCCTTTTGTCATGCTCTACTAACGTGTTTTACCTGTGCTTAAGCTCTTCATCTTCTACGGTCCCTCCAATCTAGATCACACCTTAAAGAGGTCTCTTCTAAAAGCCAGGGGTTTCATTGGAAATGTTTTCCAGTTAAACTCCCCTAGGATGCCGAGAGAAAGTGCTGCTCTCTCGGCCGCTGTGTAACCTTTGCTGTGATTTCCTGCAGTATAGCAGTAAGGAATTAAAACCTGGTACAGATTATACTTGTAAGAAAATAATGCATTAATGTCTTTATTTTGTACTCCATACACATCCAACTAGTCTACACAGAAAGTAATTCCCATTGTTCAAATTTGTTTCTCTAACGTAGTTGCCACAAGGTGGAGGTATGAAGGCATGACAAGAGTTTGTTAATAAAGCAATCTAATAACGATACTGCCGTACGCTGGATTTTATATTTGCTTTATTACCACTAGAGGGAGAAGGCAACTCATCAGACAACGGGGCTACCTATCACTCAACAGAAAAACAAAATTCTCCAACACAATTCGCAATAGAACTGCCTTCATTAGGGACCTTAAGTCCTCCTTTCCCTATACCAGGCTCACCTGGAGCAGGGCGACTGAATGCTCGGGGCTAATCCGCATCGCTACCAAGTCCTTTGAAAAAGCACTGGCGACTGCAAACTTGACAAAGTTTTACAGAATGCATTTAGCCTAGAATGGACTGTTCATTGTTGACTCAAGCTTATAAAGTTAATAAAACCAAGCCATATACTGTATGCAGTGATTACCGAGTTAATAAATTGTTTTATCTCTGTTCCATGATTCCCATCGAAGGTCTGAAAGATAACTAAGAAAAGCAAGCTCATGAACTGCAAAGGAGCCCATATGCGCATACCAAAGTATTTCAGGTCTCCACAAAGTGGAACGAGTGAAAACTGCTGTTGCAGAGAAAGCACGGAGCAAGTAGCTGAGGAGCTCGTCCAGCTACTTACAACAGGGTGGTAAATGAACTCTTAAACAAATGCAATGTTAATCAAACTCCTAACGAAACGCCTACAGCAAATCCAAAGGTCAGATTAATTTCCTTCAGCTCACTAAAGACAACATACTGTTGCTTTAAGAGATGTGAACTGTAACCTGAAACTGCTGAACACCAAATTAGGGCATTTTATGACATTTTGCCAGTGGTTACAGACAAAGTTGTACTGCCCAGTTTATCCCGGTTACGTAACAGACTGACAGCGCCTCTTTGGCCAGAGCTGGGATTCTACGGTGCCTGTTGGGTACGCAGTCCTGCTCCTCCCTTCCCTGCCTGTGACCGGACTTTGAAATCGGCTTTAGAGAAAAGTCTACCAGATCAATCCAAGGAGCTGAATACACTTCAAGAGGAACACGGCAAGTACATGAATGCAGCTCGGTCTGAGTTTCAAGGGCTTTAGTACACGGAAGAACTAGTTTTGCTCAGTACGGATCCTCTGCCCCACGCAGGAAATGACAGAGGCCAGCGTCCTCTTCCTCCGTGCCTGCCTCGCACTGCTTGCCATGCCCATCTACCTGCTATCGTTCCTGGGCATATGGGAGCCTTTCTGTAGGAAGATCTTTTTTCCTTATTTCTTAGAGAAGTTTTCTGCGGTTCACGAGAGGAAAACAAAGAAGCAGAAACAGGAGCTATTTCGTAATCTACCTGACTTCACGAGCCCCTCAGGAGAGCTGAAGCTGCTGGAGATCGGGACCGGCTGCGGTGCTAACTTCCAGTTCTACCCACCAGGCTGCAAAGTCACGTGCACTGACATAAACCCCAACTTCCAGCGAGGCCTTTCGAGAAGCATGAACAAGAACCAGCACGTCCACTACGAGCGTTTCCTAGTAGCTGCAGGAGAAGACCTGCACCAGGTGCCCAGCGGTTCTGTGGACGCCGTCATCTGCACCTTGGTCCTCTGCTCTGTGCACAGTGTGAACGGCACCCTGAAGGAGGCACTGCGAGTGCTCAGACCAGTGAGTATCTGAATAAAAAGTTTTGTTATTACCTTTATCATCTATTCCAGAGGCACTGCCCCAAAGAAAAAAAAAGAAAAAAAAAAGGAAAAAAAAAAAAGAAAAAAGTCAGTTTTGAGCTCACAAACCAGACCCAGTTGATTTCCCTAGTTAAATTGGATTTATAACCACTCTGCACTGCTAAATGGTGCAGAGCAGTAGCAACATACTGGTCAGTCTGTCCCATTCTTAAAAGTAAAACCCTAAAAGTAACATAGTCTGGTAACTAGAACTGCCACTAATTTGAGAAGTAATTACGGTGTATCATTTAAAGCAGAACTGGTTCCTGTGGCGTTGTCTCTCCCCAGACACACCAGATTTTCTTTGGGTGGGAAGCTCTCTGATCAAGACTGAAAGTCTGCATTTTAAATGAACTGCTTTAGCCTCTTAGAAGTGGGGCTGATCTACCTGTATGACTGAAACGGTCTAATTAAATGCCTTCATTCCCTGTGGTATACTAATCAAGCTAAAGATTAAAAAAAGCTGTTTTGTTGGGGTATTTTTGCAATAGACTTTCAGCCTTTAAAATGGCGTTTTCAAGACAATCCTCTGGGTTGTCAAAAACTCATGAGTTTTAGTAGGATTTACACATTTCTCTTAGTTTCCTTCGGAAAAAATGACATGCTAGCAACTGTAATTGAAACAAAAAGACAACAAACTATTGTGATAACAAAAGAGGGATCAAATAAGTACATCCTTCACGCTTTTTGAATAGGCATTTTGAATCTCTGGAAGCTTCCTGCTTACATTAATTCCGACTGACACCACAAAAGCAAAAAGCGGGCCGGGAAGGGGTGGGAGAATACTGATGAGCGAGCAAACTGCACATGCACTGCTCTGTATTCGAGAGGAGGTGGGATGGAGGGAGAAGTTCGGTGTAACCCCAGCGCCTGCTGCAGCTCTGTAACACGACCTTGTTTTTCCCAGGGAGGCGCTTTCTATTTCTTAGAGCACGTGGCCGCTGATCATTCCAGCTGGAAGTATTTTTGGCAGCAGATCTGCTATCCGACTTGGAAACTCGTCTTTGATGGATGCTGCCTAACGAGAGAGATATGGAAGAATCTCGAACAGGCCAACTTCTCGGAGCTGAAATTACAACACATAAGCGTAGCGCTGCCCTGGACGCCCATTCAGCCTCACATCATCGGGTACGCCGTGAAGTAACTCACACCGCCCCGCTGGGCCTTCTCCCCTGTCGTGTGTCCCCCCCCCCCAATTCCTTGACATAGTCAATGCAAACAACAGGGCATAGGCTAATCCAGACGTCTGAATCTAGGTAACACGCTGAAGGACTTTAATTACGTTTCGGATTCAAGCATCAAATCGGAAGATAGAGTCAGTTTTCTAAACATCTTCGAAGCCCTTGTGCTGCTGGCGGTGCCTCACTGGCCCCCCGCGCAGCCCACGGAGGATCCCGGGAGGAGGCTGCAGGAGAGCACAGAACAGCCCAGCAGGCAGAAAGAAAACGCGTTAAGGGAACTTCTGCCTATGTCTGGTTAACTCCGGGAGGGGATTCCTTCCTTCAGGTGCTCCCCACGCTGGGAAACAGCCGGGCCTCGGTGAGCCGTTGTACGCCGGCGCTGGGCTCGACCTGCTCCCCTCACCCCATGCTGCGTCAGAGCTGTTCACGTTCCAGCCTCACAGAACAAACAGCCAGACGCAAACCCTCAACACCTCACTGCGCCTCAGCCGCAAGTGCTTCTTTACAGAAGACGGGGGTGGGATGGAGGAGGGCGGGCACCCACCCTGCCTCCCCACATGACACCAAAGTCTCTCGGTCGCTTGGCTGCCCGCCCGCCCCTGCGCGGTTAATCGGTTCTAACACTGTTTGCCACTGGAGGATTAAAATACTCGTGTTTAACGTGACGCGCTCGGGAAGTTTCTTTGAGAGGCGCCGCAGCTCAGTCGGGAGACGCCGCCGCCT